ACAATCGATGTATAGGACGGAAATATTCTTTGTTCCTGGATTTCACCTTTACAACTCGGACTAGGCCGTCACTTCCTTGATACGCTTCGATCACACGGCCAAGAGGCCATTCTCCCCTACTTCCTTTTGGTTCAGAAATCAATACCACATCGATACCCCAACAATAGGTTATGTCTGGGATGAAACCATTTCTTACTTACATTAAGACGTGCAAGAAACTCCTTTCTCCAGCGCTTCCAGAACAGTTGTAACAATTTTTGTACTCCATGCCAGCGATTCCTAGGGTTGTTCGCTTCAATTTGATCAAGAGCTTCAGGAGCAAATACCCCACCGATCTGTCTGACTATGAAATGATTTGGAATAAGTGGGACAGGTCGTTTGGATCTGAACTCACACAAGTGATGGGCCGTGAGTTTACCAGTCTTTCAGCTCCACACATTGTGGTCTGAAGTTCTTCATCCGTCACATCTGCATTTCCTAGGACAATTTTTATTGTCTTCTTGGCGCTCTTTATCATAGCCTCGAAAATCCCTCCAAAATGGGAGCCGATGGAGGATTGAATTTCCATTCAATAGGTTGATACTTGGTGGTTTCTTGGGCAATTTTGTCGTGGATAAAAGCTTGAACTAATTCTCTCATCTCCCGCTCTGTGCCCATGAAATTGGTCCCATTGTCCGATATAACATATACCGGCGCCCCCCTCCTCGATACCATTCGCGTAAAGGCATTGATGAAGGAAGCCGTGTTCAATGAGTATGACATCTCAAGGTGAACAGCCCTTGTCGCTAGACAAGTAAATAGGCATAGGTATCTCTTTGCTTTGGCTTTGCTCCGTCCTTGCTTCGTTAGAAATGGGTCTCCATAATCCACTCCGACTCTTTCGAAAGCTCGTAACGATTGAATTCGCGGGCAGCGGTGCCATCTTCTGCTCTGCTGTTTTTATAGAAAAACGTCGTGGACATTCGGCACATGACTCAACGATATTCCTTACCGCGCGTCTTCCTTTTACAATCCAAAAACGACTTCGTAGCAATGTTAGAACCTGCTCTACTCCGGAAACATGTCCGAGTTCTTCATGTGCATCCTTGATGATGAATCGCGTCACCACGTGTTCCTTTGGCAATAAAATGGGGTGTCTTGTGTTGTAAGATAGTTCATTCGCAAGTCTTCAACGTTCGTCCATCCTCAGAAGACCATCGTCACCGTTCTTTGGACTAAGTCGCAGTAAACATCCTTCTCGCTCTCCTTTCGGGAAAGCTTCTCCTTGCGCTTGTTTGATCCACCACTTTTCCACATTAAGTATTTCAGTTGAACGAAGCGTTCTGTCTCGTTTTCGTAATTTCCTTGAAAGTCTGCAGTTTGTAACGAATCGTTGAACCCATCCAGTCACACGACAAAGGCGACGGAAGGTAGAAAAATGGTTTTGATCAACGACCAGGTTAACGCGCGCCTGGACCATGTACGTCTGTGCCGCTGTCTTTTCAGTATCTTCAACTTTCGTCTCCTCTCTAACAGAAGGCGCTGATGTCCCCGAGATCTCGACATCTTTCAGGAACGTTGGTCCTTCCAACCAAAATTTGCTTTTGGCTAGTTCGATAGCAGATTGACCTCGGGTCGCTAGATCTGCTGGATTCTGTATCCCAGGTACATGCCTCCATTGCTCGGGACTGGTCGTCCGTTCAATTTCTGCTATACGTTTGGCTACGAAGGGTTTAAACTGCCGGCTTTTGTTTCGTACCCAATACCACACCTTCTTGGAGTTAGTCCAAAAGATCACTCGGTCGACAGTCAGGACTTTCAGAAGACTTTGAGCTAAACGGCTTGAGAGAATGGCACCTATAAGCTCCAGTCTGGGAATCGTCATCGTTTTGGTGGGGGCTACACGGCACTTTGATGTGACAAGGCGTGATGTAGGGCTATCGTCTCCATATTGTCATGGCGGTCAGTCAACAAATTCAGAGCTCCGTTTGTTTGGCAAATTCTACCTTAAAATCTGAGAGTAAAAGCGACATAACATCTGTAGAAAACATTCATCTTGTTGTTTGTGGCCCTCAGCTTATATGGAAGGGAAATATACAAGAATTTACGCTCGATGTTTTAAAGCTGACGGGGAATTGGAAATCGCCAGGTGGCGATGTAATATGTTTACCGCGTCAGATGGAAAATTCGTCTTTAAATGGCAAGGATGCAAAAAGAAAAAGATCGAAATAGTGAAGGATCATGATGATGACCTTTTAAGCCGCTTAAAGAACAACGCACATGATGATAATAAAGCAAACGTGACTCGAGAAAATATCGATCCGAACGAGCACGTGCTTTGCGCTGCTATGTCATTGCCCTTAGAAGAAAAATTGGACATGGTTCTGTCCGGGCTTAGCAAACTCGAGAAAAAATTTCAGAGTGAGAAAAGAGCGCAATCTTTGCTTGTCGCTGAGAATAACAAAATGGCGGCCGATATAACTTGCTTAACAGCGACCGTGAACGAGCTACGGGAGGAAAACGAGAGTATCAGAACGCTGCTTGACAATAAACAAAACGAATGGATTGAAGTTGAATCCCGTATCCCGAATAAACCAACAACCAAGACCGTAACATTGATAGAAACCGATAACCGATACGCTGCCTTAGCTGTTGAAGATCCCATTACAGAATCCAGCTTGCCAGTTGAAAATATTAATGAGAACAACGACCCCGAACCAACCAATAGTCACAAAGTCCGACAACATCGTGATGTACGTAAAGTAAGTAAAGAGGAAAAACGGAACCCCACCCCTAAGCCAACAAGGAATTGAGAAAACCCTGGTCATTGGAGACTCCATGGTGAAGAATATTAATGAAAAGAAGATTGAAAGAGCAGCACGAGGGAAAAGCATTTGCCATTCATACAGTGGTGCCACTGTACCGCAATTGCATCAGAAATTCCAGCAGAACTGCGATGAAGAGAAATACAAGACCATCATTCTCCATATTGGAACGAACGACCTGGTGCGGGAGGATGCTGACAATGTTGCGAAGAAGATGGATGTCCTAATTGAGGAGGTGAAGAGTCGAGCACGTGTGTCGAGCTGTGTCGAGCGTTATTGAGAGGCATGACGGTCGAGTGCCTGCAAGTAAGATAACGTCTTATAATAATTTAGTATATAATCTATGCACAAAGCATAACATAAATTACATCAATAACGATGATATAGATAAAAGTCTTTTGAATGGTTCAAATTTACACTTGAACAAAGCAGGTGATAAAGCACTAGGGGGTGCTTTTTGCTCTTATTTAAAGTCAGGTAGACCTATAAACACTAGGCTGGTACCTAGCAGAAATAATCAGCGTTTTTTTTTCACCAAACTGCACGGCATACAACACAGTGGACAGAATACCTAATGTTTGTCAGTCAAGTACTGAGAAATTAGTTAATATAGATATGTCAAATGAAAATGTGAGTAGCGATCTTTTGACTAGCCTTAATTCTATTCCCAATGAAAGAGGTTTTAAGATGGCCTTTTTAAATATTGTTACTGTACTTTACCTAGTAAAATAGATGAAATTCGTCATTCAATGTATAGCAAAAACATTGATTTAATTGCATTCAACGAGACACGACTGGATCTGAGTATTTCTGATGGCCTCATTCATTTAGATGGTTATGAGGTTGTTAGAAAGGATCGATCCCGCAACGGAGGTGGAGTTTGTATATACCTTCGTAGCTCCATCAATTACAAAATAAGATCAGATCTCATTCCCCCTGAATTGGAGGCTGTTTGTTTGGAAATTACTAAACCACAAAGTAAACCATTTATTGTCACTACAATTTATCGACCACCAAATCCAAATGCAGAATTTTGTTACCATTTGGAAAAACTTATTAAACAAATCGATGATGAAAATAAAGAAATGTACATCTTAGGTGACTTAAATTGCAATTTGTTAGAAGAGAAAGCTCTTTTCAATATGCCAACAAACAAACTAAACTCATTATATGAATTATACCAATTATCCCAGTTGATAAATGAACCAACTCGGGTTACTATGACAACATCTAGCCTTATTGACCATGTAGTCACTAATACACCTGAGAAAATTTCACACTCTGGTAGAGATAGATAGATAGATAAACTTTATTTAAGCACACTAGTCCCATTCAACACTAAGCTGATTTCCATGAGAGGTGTGCTGGCTAATTGTTACAATTAAAAAACTAATTTATTAATACATACAAACTATTATTATATAAATCCATTAAATATTTATTTTAATAAACTACTTAAATTAATAAGGCCGAGGGCGAGGAGAAAAGGTTTTTACAAAACGAGTTGTAAGATATCGAATTTCGAATATTTTCTGGTATTCTATTCCATAATTTAGCCCCACTGTAACTGAAACTTTTTTTAAAAAATTCTGT